CCTCCAATGCTGCCTCACTTTGTTGAAGATTTCAATTTGTATCCCATCAATCCCAAGAACCTTGTTCTTTGCCAATGCTCCCAGTGCTCTTTGGACTTGTTCTTTCGATAGATTCTTACCTCTTGGTCCTATGCTACCTCTTGAAATGGTTGAACATTGGCCATTTCTTTTTGGTGGTGACTCTATTCCTTCTATCTTCTTTTGATGTTCTGTGCATCTTTCGCTATTTTGCCCAGTGCGATTGAGTCAGTACCTAGTCAAAGCGACCTTGTGCACAACAGAATGAAACACTGCCAGGTCTTGCACCAAACTCACAATTGTTGCTACGCCTGAGTCCATCGCTGCCATCACTGTGCCAACCCAGCTCGTTGGGGGTCTTCCTCCTTGTCTCTGACCCTCCACTTTACCAAACATGATATCCTTCTCCAGTGACTGCTCCCTCCTGACAATAATGTCCAAAGTAAAAGAGACGAAGTCTGGCCATCCTGGCCTCCAAGGAGCACTCTGGCTCTACTTCTAACACAGATCTGTTGGTTCTTTAGGCAGTCCATGGTGCCCTCAAAATTCTCCTCCAACACCATAACTCGGATGCATCAATTCTTCTGTGGTCTTCCTTATTCTCTGTCCACCTTTTGCATGCATATGAGGTTATTGAAAATACCATGGCTTGGGTCCAGGTGCACCTTAGTCCTAATTGCCTAATGCAATATGTCGTTTGATTTCTTGACTACTGCTTCCATGAGTGTTGATGGTGGATCCAGGCAAAATGAAGTCTTTGACAACTTCAATCTTTTCTCCATTTATATGGATTCTGTTTATTGGTCCAGTGTGAGGACTTTTGTTTCCTTTACATTGAGATGGAATCCATACCAAAGGCTGTAATCTTTGATCTTCATCAGTAAGTATTTGAAGTCCTCTTCACTTTCAACAAGAAAGGTTGTATCATCTATATTGCAGGCTGTTAGTGAGCCTTCCTCCAATCCTGATGCCATGTTTTTCTTCATATAATCCAACTTCTCAAATTATTTGCTCAGCATACAGATTGGATAAGTATGGTGAAAGAATACAACCCCCTGGCACACACCTTTCCTAATTTTAAGACATTCAATGTTCCCTTGTTTTGTTAGAACAACTGCCTGTTGGTCTGTATGCAGGTTCCTCACGAGCACAGTGAAGTGTTCTGGAATATTCATTCTCTGCAATGTTGTCCACAGCTTGTCATGATCTGCACAGTCAAAAGCTTTTGGATAGTCAGTAAAGCACAGGTAAACATCTTTCTGGTATTCACTGCTTTCAGTCAGTGAATTTCAGCCAGTTCATTTCAGCTCGCTAGGGTCTAGGATATCAATGTGTATGTGTTCCATTTCATTTTAGATAAGTTCCAATTTTCTTAGATTTATACTTTTTGTACATTCCATGTTCTGATTCTCAGTGGAAGTTTGTAGCTGTCTCTCCTCATTCTCAGTTGTGTCATCATGGTCAGCTCTACTCTGAGGAGGCAGCTCTTCCCTGGTCACATTTCTAGTGCCTTCCATCCTGAGGGGCTCATCTTCCAACACTGTATCTGACAATAATCTGGTGCTCTTCGTCATGTTTCAATATTCAGTATTCTGGTGCTATAGCTGGTGAAATATCAGTCAGCCCTAAAGTCCTGACCCCCACCACAGCAAGGTGGGACTTTGAAAACAGTTTCATGAGGGAAATAAGTCAGGCACAAAAGATTAATATTGTATAATCTCACATGAAATATCTAGAATAGAAAACTGTTTAGAAATCAAAATGTGTTAGTGGTTTTGTGGAGCTTGTGGGAGGGGTAGAAACAGACAGTGTTTGGGGTTGAACAGCATGGTGACCACAGTACTGCCCTTGACTTGTCCACGTACAGGTGCTGGAAGGGCAAGTGTGTTGCTGTCTGTGTGTCTCACCACATGCACACGGACTCACAGCAGAAACAGATACATGTGTGCTGTAGAATCCCTTCCAAATTCTTAGCGGCAAAAATATTTGAATCTTGCAGCAGATTATTAAGAGACACTTGGATATGTTTTAAAATTATCTCGTGCTTATTAAGAACAAGATTAAAAAATAAAAATGGATGGGTTTATTTAAGAAAATGTGGATTAGGTTTAGGACCTAGATGAGCAAGATGCTGTATAGATCATGGCTAGAGAGCCCGAGAGATTGAGACACAGAGAGATTGCCTGAGAGCAGAGGTAGACCTTTCTTAGCTGTTATTGTCTGGTCTCAGTTGCTGACTGAATCATCAGTGGGCGGTGTTGGCTCAATTACAGAATATTTTGTACCCTCCTCTGGGTATTCTGTTGATATTTTATGAGTTGTACATTTACCTCCCAGTGTGATCCTGCAGGATAGTACACTAGACCACGAGGTCAGCAGTTCCCACCCACGTACACAGGGTAACTATGAGTCCAAACCAACTCCACAGCACTGAATTACAACAACAAGGACCCTTACGCCTGTTCAGAGATATTAATGGAGTATTGTTTTCTTCAGTCCAAAGTCGGAAACTTTTTCTGCAGATTCATGGTATGGCCCTAACAACAAGAACTAAGAAGCAATCTCTTTTAGAAGTCTGGGTTTGCAAAGGGAGGGTACAGATGGGGGAGACAGGAAGAGAGGGGTTCTGAAAGCTTCGTGTGGTGGACTCATGAGAGACCCAGCTTTATTTCATAGAGAATCCTTAAAAACAAGGCAAAATAAAAATCCACCGATTCAGACTCGTGGTCAGCCGTGAGTACAAAATAGAACTGTGTTCCATCGGGTTTTCAATGGCCGGTTTTTCTAAAGTAAATGCCACATCTTTCTTACAATGTGCCCTTGGGTGAGTTGAACCTGCAATGTTTCTGTTCACAGCAGACCGCATTAGCAGGGTCCCCACTGGTGTTAATGTCCTGCATTTAGATGCTGGAAGCCACGTCACATCTCATCACATGATAGCAGTGACAGTTGGGGAATGGCCTGAAACTCTTGGACCAGGAAAACCATGTGCTTTTGGTCAGATTAACTCTCCAAGTGTAAGTGTGCTCATTAATGTTACAACATGTGGCCCGAGGCACTTGGACACATGTCTGTTCACCCAGCAAGCAGTCTGTTAGGAGGAGCCCTGGGTGCTGCAATGGTTAAGCAAGCTCTGGACTACTAGCTGAAAAGTTGGTGGTTTGATCCCACCCAGAGGCGCTGTTTCAGATAGGCCGGTGGCCTGCTCCCTTAGAAGAAAGTTCATGGGCGTGGTTCTGCTCTCTCCTGTAAGGTGGCTGTGAGTCCGAATCTTCTTTACGGTCTTGTGTCCACTGGTTTTGTTTGCTGGTTTGATAGATTTTTATTTTTTAGTATAGTTGTGGAGACTGCAAAAAGTTCATGTAAAAATGGAAGAAAAGATAATGGCATTTTTCCAGTACTATTTTGAAGCCCCCTCATATATAACTCATGTTGGAATGTGAGACTAAACAAAGGAGGGGTCACTGTAGATCACTAGAGCTGAGGGTCCTCACATGCCTCAGACTGACCCTGCGGACATGGGCACCATTGTGAGTGTCCACATATCCCCCCCCACTGGCTCTCATGACACCTCCAACATGGCAGACACGTGTGGAAATCATGGAATGCTTGCATGTTATTCCTTGATATATGGGAACCCTGGCCTGTTAGTGTGACTGCAGTTGCTGCCGCCGCTCAGTAAATTGTACCCAAGCATGGTGCTAGTGATTTCCCTGCCGTCGGTGAAGTTCCTGTACACTGTCCTCCGTGTACACTTCCCACAGCTTTCCTACTTCATCTCCGGGGAACTGGGCATATGATCACAAAATATCAGTGTGTATCTTTAATGTTACTGGGACCTGTACCCCAATATCATGTTCCAGATTTTAAAATAAAGATCAACTTCAAGTTCCAGTCCATAAAATAAAGCTTCAAGGGTATTACCTGGTACACCCGAATTCCTAATTCTGAATTCAATTTGAAGAAAATATTCTCATCTGAATTAGTAATTAAATTCCCAGTTAGTTCTGAATGGATACTTTTTTCCCTAGTCCTTAAAGTAGGTGTAAGAATGGAAAGAAAATAGTTGGTACTGAGGGCAGCTTTGTTCCACTGGAAAAGAAAGGGAAATACGTCCTGATTATAATACAAATATATTAGTGTGACCTCACGGTGACAAGAAGAGCACTGCTACTTGGATCAGCTCTAGTGTATCCTGAACTTCTCTACAAAGAGACAGCTCTTCCATTTAGAATGGCTTAAAAAATTGGACTGAAAACTGAAAGGTTGGGGTTTGAACTCATGACCACTTTGTGGGAGAAGTCTGTGAGAGTCAGCTTCCATGAAAATTACAGCCTTGGAAACCCTGCAGCCCGACTCAGTCCTGTGTGTCTCCTTTGTGTTGGAGTTAACCCAATGACCCTGATTCGAACCCACTGCCATCAAATCCACCCCAACTCCTCGTGCCCCGATGCAGGGATTCTGAGACTGCTGACCTTTATGGGAGCAGACAGCCTGGTCTCTCTACTGAAGACGTCCTTGGGGTTGGACTGCCAGCCTTGTGAGTTACAGTCCAGTGCTTATCCTACAGTACCACCAGAGCACAATGGCTACAGGTAGAGTTTGGAATCAAGCTGAGGCCAGGGCTTCGCATTAGCTTTAATTGCATAATTTTAAAATTGTTTTTAGAACTATTTCCATCTAATTATCTGCACTAGCTCCACATGGTGTCCCATGTTTGGAAGGTTGTTCTGTAACATCGCTGATGGATAGACGCTAACCAACTGGGTTCAAGTACACACATGCGCAGTGAGTCTACTTGACATTATACTGAGGAACGGGCCTTCCGTGTCCTGGTCCAGAGCCTGTTAGTGTCACCAGCACTGTCCCCTGGGTCGCCAGACAGCGTGTATGATGTTACTGGTATGGAATGTCTGTGTGGCTTAGTTATCGGTGGCCGTTTGACACACAGAATCCTTTCATGTCTTTCCTTCTTCCTTTAGGGTCTGTGAATGAGAAGCTGCCACCGCGAGAAGGCGCAGGAAGAGCAGGTAACTATCTGAACTGAATCTCTGGCTGCTACATGACATCTAATCCCGTCTGTGCCTGCCTAGCATGTCGTTTTTAAGTATAAGATGAACATGTATGACTAATGGTAGACAGTGACACGGGTAGAGCACTGGGTTAAGTATTGCACTGCTTACTGCAAGGGCGTTAGTTCAAACCTTGGGAGAAAGATGAGGCTGTCTGCCCCCAGAAAGACTTGACAACCCTGGAAATCTACCCTGTGGGACATTTATCATCTGCCATAGAGGGTTGCTATGGAATTAACTTGAAGACAGTGGTTTGGGTTTTTGAGTTAGGAGCCCTGGTAGTACATAGGGTAAACATTCAATTACTAACCCAAAAGGCTGGCGGTTTGAGTCTACTCACAGCTCGGAGGAAGAAAGATCTGGTGATCTGATGCCACGACTATTGTTAAGTGCCATCAAGTTGGTTCTAACTCAGCGACCCTGTATAGGGTTTCCAAGGAGTGGCTGTTGGGTTGGAACTCTAACCTTGTGGTTAGCAGTCCAGTGCTTATCCTACATGCTAGACCAGGACTCTGCTCTGTCATGTGGGGTTGATGTGGGCCAGCATCCACTCAATGGGACTCAACACCACCAAGAGTGGTCATGAAAGCTTAGATGGTTTGTTAAGGGACTTTTCATTCAGTGAACATTTATTCAAGATTTACCGGAGCCAGTCACTTTGCTGGATACTTGGCATAGAATCTGCCAGAAAGCCCAGGTGTGTCTGGGGCAGGGGTCTGAAGTTGGGCTGTGGCAGGAGTCCCTGTAGGTGGTGTGGAAGATGGAGTTGTGATTACCACTTGGAGACCCCAGTACAGCGATATGAGAGGGGTGTTTGCCTCTTCAGGGATTTGAAAGCTTGCTGTCTTCAGGTACCCTTGTTGAAGGTGTCCCTCATCTCTTCTACGGAAATGCCATCCTCCATCCCTGATAGAAACAGAGCAGTCAGCTGGTCTCCGCAGAAAGTCCCCTGCAGCCCCCGAGCTGTATTCCTGGGCTCACTGTGAGCGTGTATCCTTTACTCTCTGCCCTTTCTTTAACTTTCACCCTTCAGAACCAGTGATGATTCTCTGCATTTCAAACTTTACAGTCAGAGTTAGTTTTACTTAATTTTATAATGATAAATACATTAACAAACCGGCTCACTCTCACCGCCATTATTGGTGACAAGATGAAATTACATTATAGGTTCAATATCTTTTTTCCTGATGTAGGTGATAGATAGTACAGAGTCCTAGTATTGTACTGTAGGATCAGCACTGGACTGCTCACCACAAGGTTGGCAGTTCAGACAAATCAGCTACTCTTCAGAAACCCTGTATAGGCTCACTGTGAACAGGAAGTGAATCATGGCACTTAACAATGGCGTGTTGAGCAGTTGATGTTGCATGCTGTTCAGACAGTTCCAACGCACAGAGACCCAGTTTTTGCTGTTGTTCTTAGGTACCGTCCAGGTGGTTCTGACTTGTAACAACCAGGTACACAACAGAAAGAAACAATTGCTGTCATGTTTCAGTCCATTGCTACAACCACTGTAGAGAATTAGTATCAGAGATCAAAGGATTACGAAACCTTGTTTTCTCTGGTTTGATTGAATGTAATCCTTGGGCATTGTTGGAGCTGTGGTGGATGCAGTCTGTGCCCCAGGGAGATCACGGTGTACCTTCGTTTCCACCTGTCTCTGTAACTGAAAGATCGCAAGAATGGGGCTTTAAAGAACAGACATTTCTTTTCTCATCGTTCTAGAGACTAAGCATCTAATTTCAGGGCACCAGCTCTAGGGAAAGGCTCACTCTGTTGGCTCTGGAACAGAGTGTTCTAGCTATAAGGGATGGTTCTCTGTGTTGGCTCTGGGGGATGGTTCTCTGTGTTGTCTCTGGGGGATGGTTCTCTGTGTTGACTTTGGGGGATGGATCTCTTTGGGCTTTGGGAAAAGACCCTTTGCTGGCTCTTGTGGAACCTCTTTGTCTCAGCTTCTGTAATTTTCTTTTCTACATTTTCCGGTCACCCTACCTGGCAATGCTGACTTTTCATGTTGAAGCAGATCCTATGGTTTGAGGAATGGGAAAGTGGCTCTCAGAAGAAATACACAAAACTAATCCTGTATTTAGTTCTTGTCATTCCAAATCATGTAGTCAATTGTTGTCATTCCAGAGGACTTTGGAATATGTCCCCCAATTCATTTTAGTTTCATGACTTTTGGTCTTGGGAGAAAATTACAAAATATTCAGAGCAAAGTATCACAAGTTTCTTGTCACTATAGATATTAGACTTGGAGATTAAACAAAAATGATATACTTGTTAGTATTTTAACAAATAGCAAAAGGTTGTTAGTCTCCCCTTCACTTTTGGTTTTCCCTGAAAACAAATGGAGAGGATGCTGGGAAGTCATGGGTCACAGTTAGTCCCTCAGCCCGAGTAACCTGGCTATTATTTCTGCCACAGTTTCTGATCAGTTTGATCCTGAAATTTCCGTATAATAACACCACATGAGTAAACTTGAGCAAATCAAAACAAAAACATAGATATGAAAATGATTCTTGGGAGACCCCACAAAATATCTGGCTGGCCAGAGCCCCCATTAGTTTGGAGTACAATTTCTAGAAGGCCGCTCAGGGTTGTTTTGTTATGTCTCAAGGCTGCTTAAAAGCTCACACTTCACCCGGAATCTCTTGAGGTGTTTTTCAGTGATGTAGAACCCAGTTGCCATGGTTTCAGTGAGGGGGATAGTGGTCTTCTGTGACTTTCATTCTTGCTCTCCCAGTCCACTGCAGACTGCGCAAGGGAGCTGCAAGGTGCATGAACGGGCCAGGACCACCGTTCCCTCCATACCTGACCCCTCTTGAGGGACAACAAGATTAATAAAGGACAGCCGGCTTTGACCCCGCCCCCGGTTACTCTTGTCTCATCAGTGTAGTGAACAGGGCTTGTGGACTTCCCTCACTTCCGGTTCCATTCCCAGCAGACTCACAACACTCCTCTCTCATTCTCTTCCATCCTAAGGAATGTGGTGGGCTCCTCTGGGCTCCCACCCTGATGTGTCTGTAGGTTACGCCCACATGTTACACTTCCCATGAAGCCTTAGTCTCAGAACCCACTTTCCACTCCACACGGTGTGGCTGTTGTAATTGAGGCTGTATGCAGATTGACAGCATCAGTCACGTGTGCATGCTTAATTAACTTATTCTCATAATTGTAGTCTCCTTGCAAATCTTTTCCGTTCTGAATTCAGATGACACAGCCATGCCTGTGCTGGAGACTCAGCCCCAAGGAGATGAAGAAGGTGAGACATGGGGAGGGGGCCTGTGTGGGCTGAGGAAGGGGGCACGCGTGTGTCTGGGCTGAAGATGGGGGAGGAGGGATGTGTTTGGGGAGAGGATGTGGGAGGGGGGGTGTGTCTGGGGGAGGGAGGGGGGAGGGAGTGTGTGTTTGGGGTGAGAACATTGTATTCCATGTCTGTCTGGGTGGGGGGACGTGGAGGCAGGGTGGTCCTGGGGAGAGGCAGTTCTGCTGCCCTGGTAGAACCTTAGTGACACCCACCTCACCGCCCCCCCAGGGCTGTATTCCGCTCTCCTCCACCTGTGAGGGCCTGTAAGGGACTCTCCACAGTGACTGTGGAGGAGAGGGATTTGTGTGGGGTTTGTGGGTTTGTCTGTTGGCCTTCTGCTCTCAGGGAGCAGGAAGCTGAGGCAGTTTCCCTTGTCTGCCTTCTCACTATTTTTCACTGAATCTGAGGAGGCCCATCATCTGTCGCCTGCCCCTTCCAGTTATGAAATCTCAGTTTGGATTGTGTAAGTTTGAAGGCCAGCTCACCAGTTGACACTCAGCTGGCACTAACAACAACAACTATTTGGAAAGTGTGCACTGAGGTGTGTTCTCAATGTCCCTAGCTCACACACCTGGGGTTACCGCAGCAACAGCTGTTTAGGTTTGGTTTAACTGTTTGCTGAGCCTGTGTTCTTAGGTACAAAATAGTGACCCCTGCTGTAGACATTAGGGAGTCACTGGACTGCAAAGTCAGTTTAAACCTCAAGGTCGGTGGTTCAAGCTCACCAGCTGCTCCTTGGAAACCCTATACAGGGTCACTGTATAAATGTAGATCGGAACCGACTCTGAAAACATTAGGAGCACAGTGGCTTTGTGTAATAAGCAGTGGACTGCAAACCACAAAGTGGGCAGTTCAAGCCCGCCAGCTGCTGCTCCGCCGGATAAAGATGAGGCTTTTTGCTCCCACAAAGATTTCCAGGCTTGCAATCACTAGGAGTTGTAACCCACTTGATGGCATTTAGCAACAGTAACAACTATAAACATGAACTTTCTTTCTTAAACAGTGTTGCCACACTGATGTTTGTAAAAAGATTGAGGCAAGGTTACATTTTAAATACTGTGTTTGTGTTGAGACTTTCAGCTACATGCCTAACTATCTTTGTACGTAAGAAACATTTTTGTACATTGGGGCTTTTTTCTTTTTTAAACCATTTTTTTTAAGTGGGACTGGCCTGTATTCAAATAGCCTTTAAGCACAGTTTTGGACTAAAAAAATGAAAAAGAAAGACATCTGCTAAAAATAATATTTTAAAATTTTAAATGTAAGAATCTCACCAGCCACTCCTTGGGAAGTCTACAAAGGGTTACTGTGGGTCGGAGCCGACTCGACAATCTTAACAACAACATCAACAAAATGTCTATTATTATTTCTTTTATTAATATAATCACTTATCACTTTACTTATTCCGTTAGAGTGTCTTTGTGTCTTGTGTTGATTTTGGTTTGGTCTCTAAGCCTGCCTACTAGAAACCTTTGAGAGACTGTTTCATGATGAACTAAAGATCTTTATTTTCTTGTGGTTCATTAGATATCGCGTCACGTTATCCCACGCTTTGGACTGAGCAAGTGAAGAGTCGGCAGAACAAAACCAACAAAAATTCAGGTAAATTGGGCTCTAAAGTTCCACTGTAAGATGTGATTTAATTGGTTTAGAAAAATGTCTTTATCTTCTTGAAGTTAAATGCAGAGTTCACATTTTCCCTTAACTACAGTGAGTCATCTGAAAGTAATTCTTATGACTTGACCACCAAGGACTGTTTCAAATTTTGGCATTTTCAGTCAGATGTTCTAAATTCTTTGCAATATTGCTTTGCATGGTCCCAGAAAATAGTTTTTAAGTATACAATTGGAAATGCGTGATACTAAATATTTGAGTGTTTAATTCTTTTCAGCAACGCCAACACGCAGACTTAATTCTGTTTCAAATCCATTGAATTGTGAGCACTGTGTTTGCTATAAAGCCTGCTGGGCTGCACCGCCACAATTTAGAGTGGGTTCTTCTGACAGTGTGTGGCTGGACAGCCAAGTAGAGGGTTGCTTCGTCTTGGCTTAGCTATTTTAATGGCTTCAGGAGCACAGATTCCCTCTGACATTTGTACTGAAGCTCTTGGTTGGTTGCCCGTATGTTTCCCTTTGTCTCTCAAGTGAAGCTGGTTTTGTTTGTTGTTTGAATAAATTCCCACTGAATGAAACAGTCTCTCTGGATGCAGACTGGCCCAGCTTCCATGGAGGCACCAATCGGTGACAACACACCTTTTCTGTGGTTGGCTGTGAGGTCAAAAGGTTCTTTTGTCTCAGGGCTGTTTTCTCTGTGGTTCTGTGTTGTTCTGCACAGTATATTTTTTAATATCCATCCACTCTCACACACAAAAAATCAAAAGCTTTGTTCAAATTCGGGACGTGGAGGTAGTTTGAATTCCTCTTCAGCGTCTAGACATCTTGCGCGCAGATATTACTGAGCTGACATTGAGTTTTTCCAGTCTTACCATTGTTGATTTTTAATATTAGAATGCTGTGATCTGAGAAGATGAATTATAATATCTTGGTATTCTAGAATTTCTGGAGGCTTGTTTTGTGACCCAGCAAATGTCCTATTCTGGAGAATGCTCGCTCTGTGGGCACCGGAAAAGAATTCATATTGCGCTGGGGTTGGCCTGAGGGTTCTGTATCCAGCTATGAGGTCGAGGTGGGTGATTGTGTTGTAGAGTTTTTCACTAGTTACCCAGTCCTTTAAAAGTGATGTATTAGAATGTACTAATGTTGTTGAATTATCTAATAATTTGATATGTTATGTTGTGTTACTACTGGCAATAATAATTCCTGATTATAAGGCAAAAAACAGCATAAGCGACAAGGAAGGGGGTTATACAAGTACAGTGATGGAAGGGTCAGTAGAACGAGTGGACATAACCATCTTTATTGTTGTTGTGAAGTGCCGTCGAGTCGGATCTGACCCATAGTGACCCTGTATAGGGTTTCCAAGGAGCTCCTGGTGAGCTTGAACTGCCGACCTTGCAATTCAAACGACTTTGTAGTCTGGCGCATTCACCATAGTTAATATTTATGCATAAATCAACCTCTAACATCACTGAAGAGACAAGGAGAGTAGCTGTTAAGTTTGGATGAGATAGTTCACAATTGCCCTCAGAGCCGTAAGACAGATCCTGTGTGCTGGAACACTTACTGATTTAAAATTGTGCGAGGCTAGGAGATCGGATGTTATATGAACTTCAGTGGGATTTTTTTCATAGCCCTGGTAGGACAGTATGTTACTCACTGGGCTGATAACCACAAGGTCAGTAGTGTGCATCCACCAGCCGCTCTTGGGAGACAGATGAGGTTTTCTGCTCTGTTAAAGATTTCCAGCCTCTGAAACCCTGTACAGGGGCCACATGAATTGGAAATGACCGTACAGCTGGCAGCAGCAGAGGCAGTGTGAATTTCTAAAGCATTCTCAGGCCATTGAGTTCCCACCAGAACATCTGGCCAAACCAATTTGCTAGGCGACACCTAGAGAACGCATCAGAACCTCACATGACCCCATTGTCCTCTGTGAAGTCACCACTTAACTTTTTGGTGCCCCTGTTGGCATTGGCATCGTGACGCATTTCTGAGGATGAGGATGAGGAAGGAGGAGGTAAAAACACGAGTTACACAGGCTGTCCTTCCATTGCCTCTGTTGTTTCATGCAGCCTCCATTTCTGCAAACACACTCTGCGAGGGCACCTCCCATATGCCAGGGACTGTCAGGTTGTTGTTATTAGTGTCATGAAGGCCATTCTGACAAATGACGACCCCGTATAGGATCAGCTGGTGGGTTTGAACCACCAAGCTTGTAGTACGCAGTTCCATGCTTGTCCTACGGCACCACACCAGGGCTCCAAGGACTGTGATAAGCCCAGGAATACAAAGATGTGCATTAAGAAGCCTTGTCCAGAAGAAAGTTTGGGCAAGCAGCCAGGCATGTAAGCAGATGTTGGTAGGTGCCATCGAGTCAGTTCCAAATCATCACTGTCCTATGCACAGTAATACTGCCCAGTCCTGTGGCATCCTCACAACTGGTGCTATGCTTGAAGCCACTGCTGCTGCCATGGAGCCCGTTTCTCTCCTTTGGGGTCTTCTTGTTTTCACTGGCTCTCTACCAAACACGGCAGACAGAGGACCGGTCCCTCCTGAAAATGTGCCCAAAGTATGCAAGGCAAAGCCTGGCTTCTAAGGAGCGTTCTGCCTGTACTTCTTCCAACACAGGTCTGTTTGTTCTTCCAGCAGTCCATGGTATTTTAATATTCTTCTTCAACACCATAACTCAAATGCATCAGTTCTTCTATGGGCTTCCTTATCCGTTGTCCAACTTTCATATGCATATGAGGTTATTGAAAATACCATGACTTGGGTCAGGTGCACCTTAGTCCTCAAACTCTGACATCTTTGCTCTTGATCACTTTAAAGAGGTCTCATACAGCAGGTTTGCCTAATGCATATGCCATTGGATTTGTGGTCCCCTGCTTCCATTAGTGTTGATAGGGGATTCAAACAAAGTGAAGTCTTGGACAACATCAATGTTTTCTCTTTATTACATTGTTATTTATTGGTCCCCTGGTAAGGATTTTGGTTTTCTTTACATTGAAGTATGATCCACACTGAAGGCTGTGCTCTTTAATCCTCAACTGTAAGTATTTCAAGTCCTCTTCACTTTCAGAAAGCAATGTTTTCTCATCTGCGTATTGTTAATGAGGCTTCCTCCATCCAACTTTTCAGATTATGTGCTTAGCATACTGACTGAATAAGTATGGTGATAGAGTACAACCCTGGCACACAGCTTTCTTAGTTATAAACTATAGGGTCCCCTTATTTTGTTCAAACAACTTCCTCGTGTCCCATGTACAGGTTCCTCGTGAGCACAATTAGATATTCTAAAATAATCAGGGAGGGATACTTTGGGAGTCGGTTTCTAGTCTAATTGCAGTCCTTCAAACAGGTTGGTTGGTGTTAGATGCCATCAAGCCAGTACCAACTCATAGGCACCTTGTGCACATCTGAACGAAACAGTGCCCAGTTCTGGGCCAGCCTCACAATTGGTGCTACACTTGAGCCCATTGCTGCGGCCACTGTGCCAGTCCATCACATTGGGGGTCTTCCTCTTTATCACTGACTCACCACTTTAGCAAGCATAATGTCCTTCTCCAGGGACTGGTCCTTCCTATAGTATGAAAGACAAAGTCTGGCCATCCAGGTTTCTAAGGAACATTCTGATTATACTTCTTACAACACAGATTGGTTTGTTTTTTTGGCAGTCTATGGAACTATTAATATTCTCCTCCAACACCATAACTCAAATGCATCAATTTTTCTATGTTCTTCTTTATTCACTGTTCAACTTCTACATACATATGAGGTTATCGAAAAGGCCATGGTTTAGGTCAGCTGCATGTTAGTTCTCAAACAGGTATCTTTGCTCTTGAACATTTTAAAGAGGTCTTGTGCAGCAGATTTGTCTAATGCAATACGTCATTTGATTTCTTGACTGCTGCTTCCATGAGTGTTGATGGTTGATCTGAGCAAAATGATATCTTTGACAAATTCACTCTTTTCTCCATTTATATTGTTAAGTGCCGTCGAGTTGGTTCTGACCCATAGCGACCCTGTACAGGGTTTCTGAGGCTGTAAATCTTTACGGGAGCAGAACGCCTCATCTTTCTCCCGCAGAGCAGCTGGTAGTTTTGAACTGCTGGCCTTAAGGTTCGCAGCCCCATTCGTAACCCCTACACTACCAGAGTCCAGTGGTGAAGATTTTTATTTTCTTTATATTGAGGTGTAACCCGAACCGAAGGCTGTGGTCTTTGATCTTCATCTATAAGTATTTCAAGTTCTCTTCACTTTCAGCATGCAAGGCTGTATTATCTGCACATCACAGGTTGTTAATGAGTCCTCCACCAAACCTGATGCCATGGTTTTCTTCACATAATCCAGCTTCTTAAATTATTTTCTCAGCATACAGATTGAATAGTGTGTTGAAAAAATAGAATATTGGCATACACCTTTCCTATTTTTAACCATCTAAAGTTCCCTTGTTCTGTTCAAACAATTGCCTCTTGGTCTATGTACTGGTTCCTCAAGAGCACGATGAAGTGTTCTGGAATATTAATTCTCCACAATATTGTCTAAAGCTTGTCAAGATGCACATAATTAAAAGCCTTTGCATTGCCAATAAAGTTCAGGTAAGCAGCTTTCTGGTATTTTCTGCTTTCAGCCAAGATCTATATGACATTCAGCAATGAGATCCTTCTTTGCACATCCTCATCTGAATCCTGCTTAACCTCTCAGTAGTTGCCTGTCAATGTATTTTGCAGCCGTTTTTTTTTTTCTTTTTTTAATTTTACTTGCACGTGATATTAATGATATTGTCGGATGATTTCTGCATTCCATTCGTTCACCTCTTTTTGGAATGAGCACAAATAGGATTTTTTTCCAATCAGTTGGCCAGGTAGTTGTCTTCCAAATTTCTTGGCATAGATGAGTGAGTGCCTCCTGTGCTGCATCAGTTTGTTGAAAGATTTCAACTTGTGTCCATCAATTCCTAGAGCCTTTTTCTTTGCCAGTGCC